TATAAAAAAGCCCTTCATGAATCTAACAAAAAAACAAAACATCCGAGGAAAAAAAGCATATAGAATGAAGTGTCCCTCAAGGACAGTTCTTTCCACACTCTGTCATCACAGAGTCTAACTGTCATTCAGAAAGTCTGTGGATGGACAGATCATCAAAAGGGTGAGGGGGTATTGCAGCTTCTAGAGATCATCATAGCTCTAAACTAGTGATGCTAACACACTTTGAGAGGGCCAGTCCCTTCGTCCCAGAAACAAGCAAATCCATTCAGTCAGTCTTAAATTTAGCGACATTTTGAGACGAGGCAGACAGGAGGGAATAAAACATTTCATATTGTCGATATTAATGTGTCACACTCATTGCTTCCATGCTCTTCCAGGTTCTGACATGTTGCCCCTTGCTGCTGCAATAACCTGAGGTAGTGCTATTTTTGATGGGCCAGCGTGCTCCCGAGCGTTTGCAAAGGTGCCCTGTCGCCGGCTTCATGTCAAAGTACACTTCACTTACCTTAAAGGGGGGGGCAACTCCACAGTGAATAGGGAGTTCATAAAAAGATGTACACAAAGAGAACAAAAGACTACAGAGCCTTAAATACTAGCAGTACAGTCAGAGCATATCATGTGGCATGTATTCTGCTGTTTAAATAACTAAATTCATAAACAGATCCGCGTCCCCCGCACACATGCATCTACTGTAGATCCCTCTCCCACTCACTCATTCAACACATCTTTCCCTCCTGGGTTGCCAAGGTAGCAGCCACTGTTGCAGTCAGGAGGCTCCCACTCTCAGTTCCCAAGGCCTTGCTTCCACCAACACACATGCATAGACACACACTTGCCCACGTAGAAGCTCAGGGACACACAAGCACACATACATACACATAAACCACCCCCTCGTGGTGGCTCCCTGAGCCTTGGGGCCAGCGGACTGCAGCCTGCAGTGGGTGGGCTGGTTGGCTGGCTGTGCAGCTGAGAAATAGAATGCAAGCTGACAGACAGAGAAGCCCCTTTAAAGTCTTGAATAACCCTGTTATGTCAGGTTTGCAGAGCTAACTCTGCTGCACCTGCTTGGACTTTGGTAAGCAGGACCACAAGCTCTAAGACATGCAACCCCAGCCTTGCAGCATACAGTCTGGGAACAAGGGAGGGGGGGGGGCTGTCTGGCTCTCTTTAGGCCAAGTAGAGTGCACTCCAAGTGTAGGGTTGGAGGGAAATTAAGCAGCCCTGAGGCACAGTCAGTCTCTGGATCTGAGGCTGACACAAAGGACAGTCATAACCTCTGTGTACCAAGTAAAGGGCATTCAGAGAGGAATGAGAGGGGACAGAGGTACTCTGAAGCAATGGCCACTGGAGGAGCAGTGCAGCCAAGCAAGCTCTCAGGACTTCCAATTGTCGGTCCTAAGCAGAGCGAGGAATGGGGGGGGGGATTGAGGAAAGGTGGGGCCGTTAAGAGAGAGAGAGAGGGACAGGACATTATTTGGAGCTGGGACTCTGAAATTTTAATGTGTGTCTGGCTGCTTGTGTCTGCACTTCTGAACCTGGCAGCTCTCTTAATACCTGGCTTTGGAGATGTCAAATCCTTTCCCCATCTTTTAGTCTGTCAGCTCTGTTCACGCTATCTTCAGTGTTCAGAACAATTTCATGTTCAGATAAATGAGACCTACAAGTGAGATATAAACATTGCATCCGCTCTCCCTCAGCAAGATTTAGGTTTTAAAAGGTCTCATTAATAAACAAACAGAATAATAATGGAGAGTATTGTTCCCATCAGTCATTTAATGAAAAACAGTCCTGCCCGCAACCTGAAGTACAAAGAGAAACAGCTTTGCTCCTGAGCGTGTTGTCGATGTATATTTCAGTAGCAACAAAGAGCTGTGGGTAAACTAAGGTTTATATGGTGAATATTTGATCTGCTCCCTGTTAGACTGACATACCTTGTACAGGAGCTAAGCTCCGCCTGGCTGTCCTTGCATATCAGGGTTGGATGCATATTTTATGTACTCAATATTTGTGGATGCACTCCATGTTCCTGAAATGGAACGACAATGAAACTAATGGAAGTGTTCTGCATGAAGCACACTCCTGTGCGTGCAAAGCAAGCCAAATCCAACAAACTTGAAATTTGTTTGCTCTTGCTGTTTATGAATATTTCTTACCTGTCCTTATGTAAGAACTGGACTCGCAGCAGGCTTTTACATGGCACTGAAGCTGCTGTCTGTCAGAGGTGTTCTGGCTCCAACTACTCCACAGCTGACATCACAGTCCATCTATTTTTTATAGCCAACATCTGCTTGGCTTGCTACATTGTCACTATGATTTTCATCAGCTCCCCAGATTCCTTGTATAAAACCAACACATGGAAGGTGACTAGAGAAGCGTGCACAAAAGGCTTAACTCGCTGTGCTTTGGGATGTCTTCATAGGGTTTGATGTTAGGGGAGAATTATTTTATCAGCACGTACAGAATAAATGCTGTCATCAAAAGGTTAGTAAAGTTTGCTGCTGGAAGCTTGCAATAAACAAATGCAGTGACTACATAAGGAAAATGTCACACGATCAGCTAGAATAGGGCAACACATAGCAGCTTGTCAACATGGTGAACTGTTTACTTAACAAGCAAGTAAAATACAATCGTATCTCTCTTGAGTCAGGCTACTGGGCTCTCTGCTGCTTTAACTGCACTGTCATATTGACTCAACATGAAAACAAAATAAGACATTCCATAAAACTATAAAATCCTGTCACCCCCTCCCAAATCCAGTCAATTGTTTTTGCAGCATGCAAAGCCATTTTCTTCTCCTCCATGTCATTATGAAAACAAATGCACTCTATTATCAAGCTAAAATGCAGTCAATGCAGAAAATGTATCCCCAAAAAATGACTCACTGACAAGAATCAGTCAATTCCATTTGTGTGTTTGCTAGTGTGCATGGGCATGTGTGGACATTGAGTGCTGAAGTGCTGACATTCATTTTTCCTTGCTCTCCATTTAAGTACGTGTCAGTAAGGAGCAGTTGATCAAGATGTGAGCTTCTAGGCTGGCTGTTTTTCAGCTTAAATAGCTGTGTTGCTATGTGGAACAAGAACCATATTTAGTGTTCATAATCTTAGAGCTGTAATGTCCTTGTCCCAAGCATTCTCTGCCTAGAATGAGTGAAGATGAATATTACAACTTCCAGAGTAAATACACTTAATTCAATATTTTTTTATCCTGCTACAAAAAAAAAATTAAGCTATCTTCTATTAAATAGAAGATAGACAGTAAACATTCACAGGTGGAGGCCTGGGGCCTGGGGCTTATGTGCAAGTGTTTTGGGCTGTGGCTAGTTGCGTGTACGCTGGCCTTAAATAAAAGATTAAGCTGCTCGTCCGTGCCGTGTTATGAGAACCTCAGAGGCAGCTGTGCAAGCAGGCAAGAAAGCAGAAAGGAAGGCAAACATGCAGGCATGTTTGGAGCAAGATAGACACCCAGAGGTGGCTCTTCTACCAGCTGAAGTCCACCAGGCTGACAGATGGAGCCTAGGTGTCTACACCTGCCCCCAACTCCCCCGGGCCTCAGGCCACGCCAGCGTCATCAGACCTGACAAGAGCGAGTCCACAGGAAGCTGAGAGGATGCAGAGGACCTGTCTACCTCTGCTACCTTTGAGAGGCTCATAGGATCACACCTTGTCAGAGAACACTCACATTGAAGTGAAGCCACGAGCACGGCTGTGAAACTTATAAGATGCAGGCCGGCAAAAACTAATAAATGGCATTCTTAATGTCAGTACATCTGCTACATAATATCAAAGCACAATGCAACACAAAATGTAAAGACTTTCACTGGTAAAACAGTATTTTCACAAATGTACAACTTCTAACACTTGTAGATGTGAATTATTGAAAATAATGTCAAAGTTCCTGATTCGATGTTTTCATTGAGTGAGCTTATTGAAATTCTTTAACTTATTTTCTTTTCTCATACTCTTCACACTGCATAATAGAATACAAAGGCCTTCATATTCTCATCAATATGAATGTTAATACTTGCTGCAGCACACTACTTACTCGAAGTTTCACACTAAAATTTTTATGCGGCAAAATATCCTATCCTCCTGCGATCTTGAATTACTGAGAAAAATCCAAATAAAAATGTCTCTGGCAGATGTTGAGCTTCTTTGTGTTTAGGTGCAAATATATTTATGACAGGCTGAAAAGGCACAGGCATGTATGTGCCCTCTTCTCACCATTGTTCTCTTTACACTTCCCCCCTCATACCTGGCTCAGTCTGTTTGGATGACTGTTACGGTGTGAAAAGCCTCTTGGTATTTCCCAATGGAAAAAAGGGTATCTATGCTTTGTTAGCCTAAAAGTTTGCAAGGGGAATTTGCACCCATCGAAGAGCAAAACAGGCAAACACCAGAAGGGTAGAAGAAGGGGGAGGGCAGGATTTATTTATAACTTCTCTGCGTTAACGCTAAGTCATGAGAGGGACCTTGTAGTGAAGAGCAGAGAAGTACCCTTAATGGTTTAGAAGTCAGCGAACAAACATTTTTTCTACCTCTCTCACATTCCCAATTAGTTCCCGAAGCAGGTTTACAGCAGTTTTGTTCGTTTTAAAAATCGCTCCAAATATCTGCTGCTTGGGGAAAATCACACTTAAGGCTAAAAACAGGTGGAGAGAGAACATGGTGGTGATGACAGCATGTGGTGTTCCAATGTTATTTTGGTGCACACCATCCTCCATTACCATGGGATGCCTGACTGTAAGGTTCCATTATGTGGACCATTACGGTAGAAGAGGAAGATGGATCTAAAGATGAGTTGTTCTTCAGAACATGTTTCAAAGACTTAGAGAACAGAAGGAGGTAAGAAGTGCTTGCTAAAGTGGCAATCTTAGGTTGTTAAAATTGTCGGCACAATAGGTCTTTCGTTTCTACCTTCTCCATTACAGGAAATCGAAAACTGAGATTTTGTTTGCATTTTTATCTGTGGTATACATTTGTTTACTATCCTTGCCTTACCTGCTATCTGAGAAAGGCTCGATGATCCAGACTGCCTGCTCGCCTGGTGCTCTTTAATGAGATTATCAGGAGAAGAGTGTCAGTAAGTAGGATCTAAAATGAAAGCCATTATGGAGCATTATCACAGAGCCGCACCACGCCAACCCCCCGATCCATCTGCTGTACGGCCACCCACACAGCCACTACGCCCAGATTACAGCCGTGATTAGCTCCACCAAGTGCTGCTTAATTTAAACACCTCTGGAGAACATGTGGCACTTTGCTGCATTGCTGAGTCACAGTCATTGAACAAACACAAAGGGCAGCAGTGATTTTCTTCTTTTAGAAGACAACACAGAGATGACTCCTTTAAAACACTAGATTCTGTCGATCTTGTGATTGACTTTGGGCTTGTTGTCAGATTTTCTGACCTTTAACTTCTTAATTGATTCTTTACATGTATTTGCATTCATCACAACATTTGGCTTAACTGTTTTATCTACTGGACTCACAGTGATTTTCATCTTTTATCAGTGTGTAAACTGTAACAAGAACTGTGTCTCGAAACAACTTTTTAAAATTCTTCATATAGTGGTTTAACTGTTGAGGCAAATCTAAAAAGGCAACTACTAGCAGCCTAAACAAACATGGTTTACTGAGAATTTATAACCACATTATACTTTGAAATTAGGTTGATGGAATGAATAAAAAATAGTTTTCATAGGATCAGACTCAGACTTCTGAGAATAGCTAGTTTCTAGATTTGTCACTACTCTACAAGACTTCAGGAGTTGCACCTAACCTGTGTTCTTGTATTTCTTTTTGAAGAACTGCCATTCAGAACAACACCAAATCATCCCACGTTATATGACATTACAAAAATAGAAGTACCCCAGCACAACATAGGAACTCTCCAATCTGTACCTGTGATCTTGTCGCGAACCAGCTTGCAGGACTCGATCTCTCCGATGCTACCGAACAGGCTGCGGAACTCCTCCTGGGTCATGTTCTGGGGCAGGTAGTTGACAATGAGGTTGGTCTTGCTGTCGTCATTTGAGGGTCCGGTCTGCATGGGTGAGGGGCAGCCGCGGCTGTTGGTGGTCGGCCCGTTGGCTGTGTTGCCTCCTCCGCTAGGGCCATTTGACACTGGGGCCTCCATGTTACTGATGATCTGGAGCAGGGCAATGAGGAGGAAAGAGGAGAGGAGCCATAGAGGGAAACAGCAGGGAGGAATAGAGGAAAAACGTATTAGCAAAGGCTTCTGTACTATACTGAGCTATTTTTAACAAAGAATATGAGGCAAGTCATACACATTACTCAAAATGTTTTAAGTTCAAATCCAATTCTCTCAAATGAAAGAGCTACCCAATGCTCAACTCAATTTGATTGGTAATGTGACAAAAACCAGTCAGCTAGGACTTTTTTTATTTTCCAGTTTCCTTTGGTCATTTTGGATAATGTTGCAAATAACTGAGCTGACCGGCCTAAAACCAATATAGGGTCAACATGATTTTGCATGAATTTGAAAGGCAACCATCATTTCCAGGTATTTAAGTAAACAAAGAAAATGTTGTTTTGAGGTAGATTTTACTAAAATAAAGCCTTAAGGAATGACATTTTCTTAAATGTATGAGCAGTCATGAAGTCACTAAGTTAGCAGATTTATAAAACAGTCATGCTTCTTAATGATTAACAGCAAAACATTAATATTTCATACTACACATACAGTTAACAAACTACACATGATATCCTACATCTGAACATCAAGACATTCAACAGAAAACAGAGAGAGGATAAACATTGAATTATATTGAAGACAGTGTATGGAGCTGCCCTTCAGCACGCCTTTTGACTGCTGATGCTGCTGTTGTGACAGAGAGAATGTGTGTACATATCTGCTTTGGCTGATCTAAGTTTAAGGCTTTAAAAACTTGTAAGTGTGAGAAAACAGCAAAAAAAGGTGAGAAGGAGTGAAAGTCAAAAGTCAGAGGAGGAGGAGGAGGAAGGTTGCACTTCTCCTCTCTACAAAAGCACTCTGATACATTTTTTAATACAAACGCTGATTCTGGGATAACATTATTCTCCAACAAAAGCCATGTGTGAAGCAAAATTATTCATACATTTGCATAAAAAACATTTGTTCCATCAAAGTAATGGCTTTTTGTTGCGTCTATGTGTGAGTGTATGTCAGTGTTTGTCAATGTTAAGAGCAGAGACATCTAAAATTAATACGTCCATGGTGGGAAGATAAAAGAGGAAAAAAAAAGAAAAGGTGCTGTATTACAAAGTTAAACAGAGAATAAATAAGTCTGAGCTGATGTTTGACCAGACCTGGAGACTCCAGACCTACAGTTAATCTGAAAACTGCTCCTGTGATTTCTTTTTCATCTCTTTCATATTTGTGTAGGACTGATTCTACACAAATATGTACAAAAGACTACAATTATCTATTGCAAATCCCAAGAAAAACGTCCATGTACATCTCCATTCAAGCACTTATAACTTCCCATCACATTTCTACACAGGCACTGTTATGACCTAACATGCTGAAATCCAAATTAAGATGCAAATGTTCTTTAATCTGGTTCAATCAAATTTTTAAAGCCATCACTCAGATCTCTCCCTTTCCCCTGTTCAACCATTCGGCTCTCCGTCTATTTTTAAATATTCTTAAGAACACGCAGACAGGCTGCGGTAGGAATCAGGGCTGGTTTTAGCAAAGGAGAAAGCGGCACAAGAGTCCTACTTCACTCTATTTCTGGAATCGTGTTCTAATAATATAGCTCAAAGCAGATTTTAAAAATTTCCCAGTTTGTCCAGAAATAGTTCTCAAAAACCATTTGAGACGTTTACAATACGTGTACTTCTCGGCCTTAATCCCTTGGCTTTCATCTATCTACCTACTTGCAGTGGTAAGCAGAGAATGCAGTCAAACACTGGACTCTTTAGTAATCAAACAAATATCACCTACATATTTATACCAACATCAACTCAACATTTTCACAGGAGAGTAATTATTCTATTCTGATGAAAACAGCTGATGTCTCCCCAATGGCAGTTTAATGGTATAGCACTGATTTAAAGTGTCCATAATGAGATTGTTTAAAGAACATTTATAAAACTGAATTTTATAATCAAGTGAATTTAACTGAGAATGAGTTTGTTAACCTCAAGTAAACTGCAAGGGGAACTGTGTCTAAAGCAAGGGGTCTTTGTACAAGTATTCAAAGTATTAAAAAAATATATCATTTGATGGTTTAAGAGGGCTTAAGAGGGTTGAAACATCTTTTTTTCTTTAATTGAGCAAAGGCATGATAAAGGGTTTTTATTTTGTGTTCTGATTTTCTAAGTGTTTAGGAGCAGCTCCAACAAAATGTCACCCTTGGATCTGCTTCCATATTCGCATCTTACACAGACACTCACACACACTAACATGCATGCCCACGCTTCTATGCATTCATCCGCATAGAGTGGAGGAGCGCATCCTCAAACATACACACACACACACACACACACACACACACATGCAGGGAGAGAACAATGGCCCGAGCCCACAGCAGAAAAACAAACAGACAGGGAGATGTCTAAAAGCTCTCAAGATGAGAGCTGCATGCAAATTGTTCTTTTGACAGTATCCTTTCCTTCTTACTCGCCACTCCACCACAACAGAGATACAGAGACTGAGCGAGAGAGAGACAGGGACAAGCAGGCAGTCTGGATCATCGAGAGAGAGAGAGAGAGAGAGAGAGAGAGAGAGCGAGAGAGAGAGGGAGAGACAGAAAGAGAGAGAATAGTATCTAGCCATAACAGAGTTGATTGGAGAGGGCCTTATTAAATCTGTTTACATTCCCTGCTGAGCTCCATTCTGTCAAAGAGACTTTCAACTCCATGGGATGCTTTCTGAGGAGTTTTTTACACCAAAATGGCTGCCTCTAATTAACAGGGACCTGCAGAGTCCCAGTGGCCAATTATATTCCTCTCCTTGTCCCTGCCCACCAGCATTTGTGCTGCTCAGTGGTCCACTTCATGTTGGTTGGGAACACTGGCTGCCCCTGCTCTCCCACTGTGGAGCGCAGCACTGTGGACAGAACCCATGGCATGTCCTGTTGACTTGGTACAACACACAGCCCTCTCCAGCGCTCAGCTTCAAGATGCAGCTTCTTTTCCTCCCAAGTGATTATCCCTCTCATGTAAGAGAAGGTAGCTAAAAATGGTTTTTTTTAAATATGTTGGACACCAGAGTGATAAATGTTAAATGTAGTGTGTACACAAGTTAAGTGTTGACGTGTCTTCAATGTAGTAGAGGGCTACAGAGCACTATTGCTTTGGATGGACTATATGCTAAATAATAAAACATCTACATGTTGATATAAATTGAAATGTTTCTAAGCATGGGCTTCCCATATAATTAACTGGCTCCCACAAATATATACAACACATTCATTTTAAGACACTGAATAGTGCTTTTCACTCATCCCTGCAAACCTCAGTCCTCGCCCCATCCAATTATTCTCAGTTCTAGTTCCCAAATCTCTCAGTCAGCAGCATCACCAACCAGTGCGTATTTATGTGAACACAGTACAATATCAGATCATATTACTTCATGGGTGTGTGAAATGGCTGGTGCCATCCATTTGGCAGCAGTAGTCTCCTTACCATCTTTGGCTGTGTCAGCAATCCCTTCTCTGCCCAGCCCTGGAGCTGTGGGAGCTCTGCCTGACGCCACTGTGTCTCTGTCGACCCCTATGGAGCGGAGCACAGGGAGGGACGCATAGCCCACCGTCAACATCATACACTCACTTTAGAAGGTTAGGGGTTGTGTAGAAAAAAAAAATACAGTTACACCTTTGCAGACATGCCACCAGTCAAACTAAAACCAAGAAAGGTGGCTCAGGATGTTTTGCTTTGCCTGGTTTACCTGGTTGGAGTTTTGAAGACATTGGGATGGTGATGAATTACAGATTGTATGTCTCAAATTGATGACGTTTTTTTTTTTTTTTTTTTTTGCCAAAAAAGGAGTTGCTTAGAGAGAAGTGGGTGTAATGATATTTTTCCTTCAGTTGTTTCAATCATTAGATCGGAGTGAAAAGAATCACATGCATGGGTTGAAGGCGGCAGATTGGTGTGGTGACTGCAATGACCTTGGCAGAGTTTATAATGAGGGTTTCCCTCTTGCTCTCTGTGGGTAAACAAGCCTGTGGTTGAAGATACAGAAATGCCACAAATGAGCAGGAAGTCTGTTCACTAGCTCTCCAGAGTGGGGGGGGGGGGGGGGGGCTTAAACGCCTGCAGCTATCTACGGATGCTACAAGCAGCCAATTTAACAGGAGAGGAGGGATGACCTCTGCCTTCATTTACTCCTTCAGAGAGATGAGGAGAGGGAGTGAGGGATCAGATGGGTGGAGGAAGAAAAAGGCAAGGGCTGAGTAATGGGAAAGACACTTCCAATACTTCAAAGAAAGAGACAGAGGTGGTGAGGGAGGGGAGAGAGAGAGAGAGAGCGAGAGAGTGTCTGTACATGTTCTGTTGTCAATGTGTCTTGTAAACTTAGGCAGGAATGCATAATGGAGGTCTAAATGAGAGTGAACTGTCAGCTTGAAAGGGAGAAAAGAAGATACAGAAGGGCAGAGAGGTCAGGGTAGAAAAGAGGACAAGGAATATTGTCTTTACTAGCTGACAGGTAATGGTGGATATTGAGATATTTTGGGCATATTCACAAAGACGTAACAAGTTGAGCCACCTTTGTTTTAGTCTGATGAGGGTCAAGGGGTAACTATTGATTAATGGTTGTGTAAATGATAAAAAACAACACTTTTTTCAATTATGAATCTGATTGGAAAAAATAGGGAGAAAGGTTAGAATTTGTGACTTAATTTAAAATCAATTTTTCAATGAATGTCAATTTTTTCAAGATCTAGACTTGCTTGATCAACCTCGTATAAAAGTAAGGTGCATTTATAATTAAGACAAAGACTGAAGACAACAGTGCTAGAAGCAGCTACACCCTTGAGGCTAATTTGTCTGTACTAGCTGCAGTTCGAATCCACTACATATAATAAAGTAAAACTACATTAATCTTATCAAAAGGAGATAACATACTGTTTAGCCTCCTTTACATTTTTGAAAAGCTACCCTGAAAAAAGAAAATGTTAGGCAGGGGCTATACATCAATAGCATATTTCACCCATTCTGCAAAGCCGTCATTGTACACCATGTCAGTGCGGAGGGGAATGGTGTGTTGCAGCAAGCAGACAGTGCAGTTATAGTAGCATGTACAAATGTGGTGATCAAAATGTAAGAAGCAGCAAGCAGATGTGTATGAGTCTCCATTTCAACAGCCAACATATAGAGCCAGAGAGCATCATGTCGGCTAAAAAGGATATTACATTCTCAGAAGTGCGTTTAAGTCTCTGTGTACCATCTTTCAAATACTACTCAGTGCTCTATATCCAGTGCTCAACCATTCAATAAAACAAACAGTCTCAGGCATAACACGCACACACACACCTACACACACAATTTCATCTTTCTTCATATTTTTTCTGTCCTTGCTTTATCACATGAAAGCACACACGTGTGTCTTCTGATAAAATCTCAAATAACACTGGAAAAAGGGTGCAATGCAATTACATTCAGCAACCACTGAGATGAGAAACCGCTCATGGATACATTTTCAATTATTCAGGGAATACATTTCAGTCGGTGCTCGCATGCTGGGAAAACTTATTATATAATCAATACACTCTATAATGCCATTAATATTTGATGCCACAAAAGTGCTTCCTGTCTCCTTGGGCACCCAGCCAACGGTGTCTGGGCGCTGCAGTCAAACAGGACAAGCCTTATCCGCCGACAGCTAGGAGTAGGAATAAACATTTGTTCTCCTCTCAGACTCCAAATATACCAAAGGCAACTTCCTTTTAGGTTTACTGTATATGAATCAGTTTCTACATCTTTTTCTTTCACACCATGCACAACTATCTCACAGAACACAAGAGCTACAATTAAGATGGCCAGTGAGTTTGTGTCTTACTTTCTGTCCCTTTTACCTTTGTCACTTCTTTGCTGCTTCTACACCATGAGACCAACAGTTTCTATAGCTGGGCTGGTGCAAGACCCAACCCCCACCCCTTCTCTCAGAGAGCTTAGACAATAAATTTAGCCTGACTTGGCCAGGATAGATGAAGGCTGTTGAGACTGCAGAGTAGACAGTATGCTGCAGGATCTTTCTGCTGATAGACACGCTGCCTGGCAGCTACAAAATGGAGCCAGCATGCAACCATCTGACGTGCTAGACTGGGCCTCTCTGTTGTTCTTCAGATGTTATTTGAGATTTCCTTACCCCCTAAGCATCCTTTAAAATATTCTTATTTAAAAAAAAAAAAATCATTTTTAGATTTGGAAATAAAATGACTAATTTATTATCAGATGTGGGTATGCCACAACACAAACACTAGATACAAAAATTGCTGAAAAAGTTTCTCCTTTTGTCCCCTTCTTGCTCCCCTAAAGCAGCCACAAATGATACTGCTAAACTCCAACTGACAATCCCCAGTAGTCCCCAGAGTGATACTGAATTGGAGTTAGTGATACTAAATTGGTGTTCCTATCAAACCGACTGAGACACAAAGAGATTAATATGACTTTACTATCTCTGCGTCTTGGCCAGTAAAGTTCCCTTTAATGCTCTCTGTGCTATTGATTTTTATTTTTCTCTCTCCACTCCCTTTCTTCCTGGCCATCTCCCTCTTGCCATCTTTCCACCTCCACCAGCATCTTACGAGCGCTGAAACGTCCTGCAGGTCAGGCGGATGCTGGGCCGGATCAATCAGGCAAAGTAATCTGTGATGCCTCATGCACACAGCACAAACACACACAGAGGTACATTGCAGATCCTCACAGACACACCCCCTCTTCTGTTGCACTCTAGCCTGCCTGCCTCCAGTCTCATCGATCTGCATCTACTTTTCCAAATGGAGTCTTCTCTTCTATCTTTCTCCTCTTCTTTATGTTTGTGTGACTCAGAATAATATATGTTCCAGACTGTGCAAGACATGTACATAAGCAATTTTTCATTTAATTTTGGCTCGACTTCTTTCCCTTTCTCTTCTCTCTCCTTTTGTGATGTTTCAGTCTTTCGGTAAGATCGATGCAGCTTTTCCCACACACTCCCTCACAGCCCTTGGGTGATCTGTACTCATTTGGGGTCAAAGGTCAGGAAATGACAGAAAACAGGCTTTACCCAAGGGCTATGACGGACAGGATGAGTACAATAATACCAAGATTTATACTGTAAATCACAGAGAATTTTAGAATTTGATGTGGCTTTTGTTATTTTCAAGTGTGTTGTATCTTCAGTATTCTTCAGTTTTACTTGCTTTTAAAGGCTGAAAAGTTTGGTACAACAAAGGTTCTACCATTGTTTGCAGTTAAATGTTCATTACTGAAGTGATGTAACTTACTTTCTCTTTTCAAATTAGTTTTGTCACTTTATTACTTTTATCCAAATTCTTTTCTCAAAAGCTATTTCAAGCTGCTTTGGCGGCAGTCAAAAGACAGAATATCCTTCGACAACGACTAAGGACCTGCAGTGCTCCATACATTCAGCCACTTTCTATCTCCCACACACACACACAATTATAAAATACACACTCTCACACACATGCACACTACAGTCTCCTTTCGCTAAGCCAAACTGTAGGCGGAACTGGAGCCATTTGTCCACTGGCTGAATCCCAACTCTGCACCAATGCATGCAGAAAATTGGTGAGCATCTTGACTCTGGAGATGACACTTCAATTTGTGCAGCTCCAGTGACTGGTGCTCTGCAGTTTCTCCCTTGTGGGGGTGTGAGATCAGCTGGACACCTGCCTGGCTGTTTTGGCTGAAGCCTGGGGCACGGGGACTGAGCCTTGCAAGTGAAGGCTTGGCTTTGCCTGTCAGCCCAAAGTCCCTGTCCCTCAGCCCTCGCCCGAGCCTGGCCCTCTCAGGTACCTATAACAGTATCCTCAGCTCACTCCTGCACCAGGAACAGTCCCTTGCTTGATGCCCCTGACCCCCATTTCTCTAACCAATCCTCAGCTGAAAGTCAAAGCAGCACAATAATCTCAACAGCAGTCTCCTCTTAAACGGCATCAGAAACCCAGCTACACCTTTGTCAATCTTTGTTCCTGTTCCAGCTCCTGCTACGGCTAGCATCTCTGCTGCTAGCCAAGTCAAATCAGCAAGAAGCCTCTGCTGTGCATCACTGTCCGTCCTGCTGTAATCCCTGGGTGTGACGGATGGGACTGATCACTGTCGAAGCCCTCAGCAAGACATTTTGTTGGATTAAAGAGGCTAAATCACCGTCTCATCCCCTACATGGGATTCTCTGCTTAATTAAATGTCATTAATGTGGTTAAAGGTTTTAGCGGAGATGATATCTATCCAGCATGCAGGGCGTATTCAGTAAGAATTAACTTTGTTTCTGTGGATAGTGAGCACAAAAGAGGCATTGTGAATGAGAGAAAAGGGATAAAAAGAAACCTAGCAGGAGAGACAGCACAAGGCTACATCATTCCTGTCATTTAACATGACATAACAGGGGGATCCTTCCTCGTACATATTCTCTCCCTGTCCTCCTCTTTTATCTCACAAATATAATGTTTGCCTTGAATTTGTTAAGATCTAACCTGTTTACTTTGTTCTATGAATAAATATACATATAGGTGACAAAAGTAATGTACTGCATTGACAAAAAAATC